TTTTCTTTTTCATATCAAATAAAATAATATAAAATACATCTATCCCACTTTTTTATCTTTCCCAACAAACAAGGAGGGAAAATATATTTCCTTCCTTTGAGAGTGAAAAAACCTTCCCTTCTATTTTTGTATCCCTTCTATTTTTCATCACTTTAACCAAACATACCATAAGAATGGATAACTAACTTTCTTCCCTAAACGTTGCCAGACAACAAAGGCTTGCAGAATCAAATTCGATACGTATCCAAGTATTTTATGAGTTGAAAGTTTAGGTTGTCCAACTACCAGGCAAGTTTGGTTTAGGTACAAATAAAAGATGGAATTGGATTCTTAGTTCCCCATTCAATCCATAAATGGTGTTAACAAAAGTACTATTTAATTTTATCATTGTATAACATGTTTGGATCAATGTTAGTGATGATGCACAAAAGTGAATTTATGTATAATTAAAATAGTCGAGTGTGTGGTGTAAAGTAATAAATGAAACAGTTAATAATAAGAGACAAAAATTGGATACTTGGGTCTGGGAACCTAACCATTGGGTGCCAGGTGCGGGCGTCGCTGGCACGGGCGCCGCTAGGCACTGGGCACTGGTGTTGGGCGCTGTATTAGAAAAGCCATGAAGAAATGACAAAGCTTTAAACAATTATACTTTTGTACTCAGTTGTCCGTTTGAGATGATTTTTTTTTTTTAATGTTAGTATTTTTTTTGAGATCTACTATGATCAAACTGCTGACGACGATTTGAATACCAAATTTTCCCCAAAAAACGTTTGTTTCTCACTAAATTTGAATTTTAACCATAAATTAGTGAAGAAGTAGAATTTTCTTATATCTACTTTTCGTGGTCCTCATGCTGATTTTTCATTGGTCCTCTTGGGAGAGAGGGTCGCCATCATGTAAAGGAGCAAACTTGTGAAGAAGCGGGGTAGCAGAAGGCCCCTGGCGTCCTAGGTGAGGCTCTTGGGGCGCCCTTCCTCCTTCCTAATGTTGGGCCTCCTTGAAGACTCCCAAGAAGCACTAACACGAGGATCTGCTGGTTTTGATTAACCTGGTTTTGCATGGTCTCCATCAGCTGTTGGGATTTAGGGACGAGGTTCACTGGTGGTAGCAAGACCTCGTCGTGATATGGCGAGTCATCTTTTGCTTGGTTGTTCATGGATCTAGTTGTGATTGTCATTGAAAGTAGGAAGACTATATGGTGAGAATCAAATTGGTTCTCACAGATGACGTCAAACTGATGATCCACAAAAGTGGATTTATACACGATCAAATCAATCGAGTGTGTGGTATAAAACAATTAATAATAAGAGACAAAGACTGGATAGTTGGTTCTGGGGATCTTTCCACTTAAAGCGGCAACGGTGGCTGGAGAATTTTATTAATGAGAGAGTATAAGATAGTAGGGGAGAGAGAGAGCAATAATACGATCAAGGTAAAGTGTGTGTCACACTACTAATTTATCAGGGAGGATAGTTACAATTGGAGATAGACACTATCTTAGAGTAATGACTATCTTATTGATTGCTCTTCTACGTGCATTGACTCTTACTAGACTCTTGGGTTTTGGATTAAACTGAGGTCATGAACTAAGTCTGACCTGCCTTTTAATTATTTGAGCTCAACCCATGAACTGGTCCCGGGTCTGGTTTGAATCTGGGCTCATAAGTTAGGATAATATATAAATCTATATTTACAACACTAAATTTATGTTTGGATTAAATAATAGTGTATAACATTAAATTAAAAATGAGAAAACAAATATTGAGGATAATAATTTGTGTAATGCGTAACTTTTGTATGAAGGTAGTTTACAAAGATAACAACATCATTCCATTTTTAGTAATCAACTTGTTAAAAATAATACCACATATTACATGGTATTCATTACTTTTTAATATTAGGTGCTAAATGACAGTAGTGAACCAGAGCAGAATTAATAACCTCATTCAAACTTAGTATCATATTATTAGTGAATTAAATTAATTTGATCCACTCCTTAATATTTAAACCAAAGGTCCGAATCTTTTTAGGTGATACATATTGCATGGGCTGATCAAAATTGGGGGTCCTACTTCCTTCTTGCGGATGATCAGATGCAAGTCATTAAGTAGTATGTCATGGAATCGTGTGTAGCAGATTCTAATCTATTGATGTCAATATAGAACACAACTGGTTTGTTAGATCCTGATGTAAGAGAAGCCAACATATTGGAATAACAATTTTCTTTTTAAGTCTCTTCTTCTCTCTCTCCTCTTCTTCTCCCAGATCTTCATTGCTTGCAGACTCTGTTCGGTAGATTCTTAGTTCGTTTATTCCACAACTGGTGTGATTTCATCCTTATATTAAACATAGTATATAAGTGCTATATCAATCAGTTATCTCCACAGTTCTTGTAAGGTGGCGTTGCCTTGCATTTCAAAGACGAGCATGCAAAGCAACTTTATCATAGGAGTTAGACTCTTCAGAATTATAGATTGGTGTTCTTGTTTGAAGGAACACTAGCATGGTTCACACCGTAACCAAAAGAGAGCGCTGCTAGTTAGTGTCCAGAAGGACGAAAGTTTCAACTGGGGGGNATTAAAAATGAGAAAACAAATATTGAGGATAATAATTTGTGTAATGCGTAACTTTTGTATGAAGGTAGTTTACAAAGATAACAACATCATTCCATTTTTAGTAATCAACTTGTTAAAAATAATACCACATATTACATGGTATTCATTACTTTTTAATATTAGGTGCTAAATGACAGTAGTGAACCAGAGCAGAATTAATAACCTCATTCAAACTTAGTATCATATTATTAGTGAATTAAATTAATTTGATCCACTCCTTAATATTTAAACCAAAGGTCCGAATCTTTTTAGGTGATACATATTGCATGGGCTGATCAAAATTGGGGGTCCTACTTCCTTCTTGCGGATGATCAGATGCAAGTCATTAAGTAGTATGTCATGGAATCGTGTGTAGCAGATTCTAATCTATTGATGTCAATATAGAACACAACTGGTTTGTTAGATCCTGATGTAAGAGAAGCCAACATATTGGAATAACAATTTTCTTTTTAAGTCTCTTCTTCTCTCTCTCCTCTTCTTCTCCCAGATCTTCATTGCTTGCAAACTCTGTTCGGTAGATTCTTAGTTCGTTTATTCCACAACTGGTGTGATTTCATCCTTATATTAAACATAGTATATAAGTGCTATATCAATCAGTTATCTCCACAGTTCTTGTAAGGTGGCGTTGCCTTGCATTTCAAAGACGAGCATGCAAAGCAACTTTATCATAGGAGTTAGACTCTTCAGAATTATAGATTGGTGTTCTTGTTTGAAGGAACACTAGCATGGTTCACACCGTAACCAAAAGAGAGCGCTGCTAGTTAGTGTCCAGAAGGACGAAAGTTTCAACTGGGGGGNATGTCATGATTTGTGGAAAACAAAATCCATCTAATATTACAATTAAAAAGTTGAATTCTCAACTTATAAAAGCACAATAACGGTCATGATGGATATAATTTTCACCTACTTTAATAGCATTGATCTTAATATAATGGTACAAAATTCATCTTAAATTTTTTATTCCCACTCAAAAACTTCATCTTTTTTGCACGACCTCCAATATCGGACAACTCAATCAACACAACCCCCGATGTCAAACAACCTTATTAATCCACACCTACCTCTCACTTCTCCCTTCCTTACTTCTTTCTTATTTTCTTTCTGCTCACTTTAATTTTAAATTGCATAATTAAAAAAATAATAAATTATTACTTAAAATATAAATATTGCACTTTTTGATATTGAAAAGTGTCTCGAGGGACGGGTTATTGCTAGTTATCTGCTATTACAAATAGATTCATATAAACTTCCACAAGCTTTGTTGATGGTTGATATAATAACAAACATGACTTTTTGTTACCCACTCTAATCCATACTTGAATTAAAACTCTCTTACGTTTAGTAAAATATGTGACAATACACAACATTTATACCATAGGAAAATATGGTATGAGCAACACATTAAAAAGAGGAAACGTCCAGAGATATTAACATTTAATGCTCAAACAGAACTGAAGAACAGTTTTCTTGCCAATTTTACATTTTTTAATACGTTCTATTCTATTAGACATCCAAAGCAATTAGAAAATAAATACTTTTTCTGTGTTTAAATACAAATATCGTGTTTTGAAAACTTCATCCGTTGAAAGTTTTGAGATATAAGTAGTGCAACTTTCATCTACATAAGGGGAATTCATTTCATTAACCATGAAAATGACAGTTTGATTCAGGAGATATACTCATGAGAGTACAAGGTATATGTGACCACATGTTGATAAATGCATTTCAACATCAAAAATTTTAAAGAACCTAGGTGCAGCTTCATATAAGAATTTTATTAGTTCAAAAACCAATTCCTATAAGAAAATAGCTAGGCTATAAGAAGTTCTTTTGACAATTATCAAGTAAGAAGTTCTGTCATGCTAAAGTACATTGATTCAGTNTTAGAAACAAGTAAACTATAATTCAATTTCTCTAAGTGATTTCTGAATAAGAAAGTTGGGGGTTGAGAAGAATGTCATGATTTGTGGAAAACAAAATCCATCTAATATTACAATTAAAAAGTTGAATTCTCAACTTATAAAAGCACAATAACGGTCATGATGGATATAATTTTCACCTACTTTAATAGCATTGATCTTAATATAATGGTACAAAATTCATCTTAAATTTTTTATTCCCACTNATAGAAACAAGTAAACTATAATTCAATTTCTCTAAGTGATTTCTGAATAAGAAAGTTGGGGGTTGAGAAGAATGTCAAGATTTGTGGAAAACAAAATCCATCTAATATTACAATTAAAAAGTTGAATTCTCAACTNTGACCCTTCCTTGCTGGTGCAATATTGGTCCTTAATGCAAAACCATCTTAGTTTATTTTTCATAATTTATCACCTTGTATTGCTACTTATACCATCTCAAAATTTGTTTCATTTTTAAANGTCACACTACCTTGAAAACATCGAACCAATACGTCCGTTTGATGGGGTACAATACCCTTATGCCAGACAGAATAGGACTGTGTAGAACAACACCTCTCAAATCTGGCACACGAGACGCAAGATCAATGGTGGGACCACTACCAACCGACTGTCCGTATAATATCAGTTGTTCATCTTTGACCCCATACTGCTCCTTGAGGCACTTATATACTGCATCTATGTCCGCATATGTATTATATTCAGTTGGCTGTTTCAAAGGAAAAAGTGACGGCTGTCATTTTACAAGAAAGAATAAATAGTGATAAGGACAATATCCCCAGAAAAGTGAAGCCAGATATATCCAAATTCAAGCATCATTCCAAACATAAAATTGCCTACCAGTAAAATATCCTACTTTATAATTCTGGTTAGGACACAGAGACAGAAGTGTTTCAAGGTGACCCCGCACCCCCACACCCTACATACAAACAACATCACAGGATGCTGATTTGAATAAATTTGTACACAAATCAGTAACTATACATCGAGTCCAAGCGAGATGAAAAAAAAAGTTATGAAATCAATATATGAAATGCAAGCGTTGCATTAGGCATAACTGCATTTTCCCAAAATACTCCCCATCACAGTTTGCTATGATCTAAATCATCATCATCTTCATCTCTCTCTCTCTCTCTCTTCCCCCCCCCCCCCCCCCNAATTATAGATTGGTGTTCTTGTTTGAAGGAACACTAGCATGGTTCACACCGTAACCAAAAGAGAGCGCTGCTAGTTAGTGTCCAGAAGGACGAAAGTTTCAACTGGGGGGCTCCAATAGTCAAACTCATGAGACAGTCATGGTAGATGGAAGCCAATTAAAACTAGCTACTCGGCAAGCGGTTACTAAAGACAGAATTGCAGGCAGCTGAGATTTTGCTATAGACAGTTAGGGACTGTAGAACGGAGATTTTGGTGATGCAAGGTGTTTGAGGGAGGCAACAAAGCTGGTATTTTGATGAAATTTAGTAGATGGAGAGACGGATGAGATAAATGTGAGGAGTATGACAATTTAGAACACAATTTGAGAATGTGGCAATGAACAGTCCCTCAAGAATTTATGTGACAAAGTGGTCAGCAATCAGAGCTTTGTAGGGAGTGAGCGAATTCATTAGAAACTAATGACACTAAACAGCATTAGTTTGCTCTGTTTTAAAGGCTTGCAAATAAGGGATAGACCTCTAACAGTCTCCCATGCATCTTGTACACTTGCTCATAGAGTCATAGTATTGAAATCACACTCAATTTGATAACTGGAGTTAAGAGTGGATATAGAAACACGTGTAAAAGCGTGTAATTACCTTCTCAACTAGGTATGAGTGCATAAATTATTCAAGGCTCTCTTTGCTGAAGTAGTCACCAGACTAAGCCCTTTCTTCTCCTAAACCTATCAACACGGTCCGTACTCATTCGTGATTTTTCAGGCTTGTTTGACTTCTTAGACTTCTCAAGTCGGCTGTCTAAACTGTTTCTAGAAACTTCAGGAAGATCAGGTTGCAACTCAAATGTGTCGGCAGTTGCGCCTTCAGATGGTTTGGTCTGAGTGTCAGAGTCTAATGATGCTTTCTTTGAACCATTCGTAGGTGCTTTTGACTTGCTGAGGGTCAGTACGAATTTTTTCAGATGTTTGATGAATTCGGGATATAGCTCAAGATTGCAATGCCCGCCCCCAGTTAGCCATAAGGGTTCATACTTTTCTTTGCAAAGCTCATATAGCTGTTTCCCATGGGACCAATCAACAACTTCATCTGCTGTCCCCTGAAGATAGAAACAAGTAAACTATAATTCAATTTCTCTAAGTGATTTCTGAATAAGAAAGTTGGGGGTTGAGAAGAATGTCAAGATTTGTGGAAAACAAAATCCATCTAATATTACAATTAAAAAGTTGAATTCTCAACTTATAAAAGCACAATAACGGTCATGATGGATATAATTTTCACCTACTTTAATAGCATTGATCTTAATATAATGGTACAAAATTCATCTTAAATTTTTTATTCCCACTCAAAAACTTCATCTTTTTTGCACGACCTCCAATATCGGACAACTCAATCAACACAACCCCCGATGTCAAACAACCTTATTAATCCACACCTACCTCTCACTTCTCCCTTCCTTACTTCTTTCTTACTTTCTTTCTGCTCACTTTAATTTTAAATTGCATAATTAAAAAAATAATAAATTATTACTTAAAATATAAATATTGCACTTTTTGATATTGAAAAGTGTCTCGAGGGACGGGTTATTGCTAGTTATCTGCTATTACAAATAGATTCATATAAACTTCCACAAGCTTTGTTGATGGTTGATATAATAACAAACATGACTTTTTGTTACCCACTCTAATCCATACTTGAATTAAAACTCTCTTACGTTTAGTAAATTATGTGACAATACACAACATTTATACCATAGGAAAATATGGTATGAGCAACACATTAAAAAGAGGAAACGTCCAGAGATATTAACATTTACTGCTCAAACAGAACTGAAGAACAGTTTTCTTGCCAATTTTACATTTTTTAATACGTTCTATTCTATTAGACATCCAAAGCAATTAGAAAATAAATACTTTTTCTGTGTTTAAAATACAAATATCTTGTTTTGAAAACTTCATCCGTTGAAAGTTTTGAGATATAAGTAGTGCAACTTTCATCTACATAAGGGGAATTCATTTCATTAACCATGAAAATGACAGTTTGATTCAAGAGATATACTCATGAGACTACAAGGTATATGTGACCACATGTTGATAAATGCATTTCAACACCAAAAATTTTAAAGAACCTAGATGCAGCTTCATATAAGAATTTTATTAGTTCAAAAACCAATTCCTATAAGAAAATAGCTAGGCTATAAGAACTTCTTTTGACAATTATCAAGTAAGAAGTTCTGTCATGCTAAAGTACATTGATTCAGTTAAGATGGAACTTAATGCTGAAACCGCAACAAAAAAAAAACAAGTAGGACACTAGTTCTNATATTCTAATCATTCCATGTGAATTTCTATTAAAAAAAAGACGTAAGTTAAGTTTTCATAGCTAAGACAGCTCGTTAAGGCTAAACCAACTATTCAACGCCCAGAATATAAAAAGAGACCTTAGTTTCAGCCCCAACATAGATGCGGTAAATCCCCTAGAGATAACTATGTAGTACTCTAAAATAGTACTCTTTGACAATATATAAAGTGTTATATCTTCATATCCATTTTATGTACCCAAAAATAGAACTACTATGACTAACGTAGCTGCTACCATTGTTCCAGTTTCTTCGCAGATCACGGGCGACATGATCAGCCTGGACCACTGAAAATATTATCGTAANATCACACTACCTTGAAAACATCAAACCAATACGTCCGTTTGACGGGGTACAATACCCTTATGCCAGACAGAATAGGACTGTGTAGAACAACACCTCTCAAATCTGGCACACGAGATGCAAGATCAATGGTGGGACCACTACCAACCGACTGTCCGTATAATATCAGTTGTTCATCTTTGACCCCATACTGCTCCTTGAGGCACTTATATACTGCATCTATGTCCGCATATGTATTATATTCAGTTGGCTGTTTCAAAGGAAAAAGTGACGGCTGTCATTTTACAAGAAAGAATAAATAGTGATAAGGACAATATCCCCAGAAAAGTGAAGCCAGATATATCCAAATTCAAGCATCATTCCAAACATAAAATTGCCTACCAGTAAAATATCCTACTTTATAATTCTGGTTAGGACACAGAGACAGAAGTGTTTCAAGGTGACCCCGCACCCCCACACCCTACATACAAACAATATCACAGGATGCTGATTTGAATAAATTTGTACACAAATCAGTAACTATACATCGAGTCCAAGCGAGATGAAAAAAAAAGTTATGAAATCAATATATGAAATGCAAGCGTTGCNTGGTAAGAATTAATTATAATTTATTTAAGGTTAAATTGCAATTCAAAAATATCAATTACAACTCAAAATAGGTCAACTTATTACTCAAAAAAAAGTTAAAGTCGATCTAATATTTCAAAATCGATCCCAAATAATATCGTTTGTTTGTGATCTCTTTTGTTCATCTAATNCAAAAAAAAAAGCATCACATAGAAGAAATCTTCTAACTAGCCTTAGTCAACAGTGTGTAATTCCAAAGCAAATGACCTCAAATGTTACTGAAATTGGAAAGGGTGATGGATGAATTAGCTTGAGACAAGTGCANCGACCCTTCCTTGCTGGTGCAATATTGGTCCTTAATGCAAAACCATCTTAGTTTATTTTTCTTAATTTATCACCTTGTATTGCTACTTATACCATCTCAAAATTTGTTTCATTTTTAAANGGTCCTCAAAGTATGATATTTTTCTTATTTTAATCTCTAATATTTTAATTACATATTTTTAGTCATTGAAGTATTAAATATATATTTATATAGTCCCTTAAGTAGACAGCGTCTAGATTGTTAATATTTTTTTATTATAAATTTGTCACGTAATACCTAAGAATAGGAAAAAATAATAATTTGAATAATAACTATTGACCAAATTTGTACCCAAATTTTGATAAAAGAGTTACCAAAATTACATAGTTTTGATCATGAATTATTTAAATTTTGGTCAAAAGTTATTCATATTGCATATTTTTTGTCAAGAGTTATTTAAATTATTTTTTTCCCATATTTAAGAATCAAGCGACAAGTTTATGATAAAAAAAAATTATTAGTAATTTGGATGCTGCCTGTTTGAGAGACAACATAAAAATATATTCAATAATTCAGAGACCAAAATGATTCAATTGAAATATTTGAGATTAAAATAAGATAAATTTTATATTTTAGGGACCTCCAATACAATTAACCATAAATTGTAACTTTATGTTCCATTTGGTACGATGGAAAAGTGGAAGGATTGAAAGTTGAAATGATGGAAAGTTTGAGGGATAAATAAAACATCATATTTGGTAAAGAAGTAAAGTAGGAAGGATGGAANAAAAAAAAAGCATCACATAGAAGAAATCTTCTAACTAGCCTTAGTCAACAGTGTGTAAAATTCCAAAGCAAATGATCTCAAATGTTACTGAAATTGGAAAGGGTGATGGATGAATTAGCTTGAGACAAGTGCAAGTCCTAGCGAAAAAGGGAAAACTAACAGATTTTGAAGCATGACCATAGAATTTCAGGAGGTTTTAAATGAAAGATATTGGGAAGTGACATTTCCTAAATGGAAGAGATTCTCATACAACTCCTATCCTAGCATAAATAAAATAATGTTGTACTTCCCATATGGGAATTTTGACAAGTAAGCTAACTTAGACTCTTGTGCCACATTAATATATCCATAGTTGTTAGTATTGTATAATACGATACATTTCGATATATAAAGAAAGCGATACGTATCACTTTAGTATATTAGTTTTCACTGTATCGTGCGATACAACCAATACAAGACAATGCATACGAGTCGTCCAATATAGGATTAAAATGATCAAAACAAACTTTTTTGGATTTATTTTAAACAGAAAACAACGGATTTTCACATAAAAGTAATTTTTTTAAACACTACGTAATGAAGCAACGCCGTTTCACTATCTAAGGTTTTAAAAAATGGAAGTCTTCTTTTGTTATTTATTCCATCGCAAGAGCAAATAATTTGATTATTAAAAATGTCTTCATCTAACGCCTTTAGATGCTAGAACTAGAACTCTCTAAATTTTGATATTGATGAATTATGTTAGAATCTTGAATACTTGATTGTTAATTTTTTTTTTTTTTGTCCTTATAGTCTCTTTAAATTATTTTATGTGAGAAACTTATTGTGCAATGAAATGTTCTTATGACCTTTTTCATAGTATATGTATTTTTTAATATCTCTTATAAAACGGCAAGTATCTTAAGATATACGATACGTTACAATATACGATATACTGATTTTGAAATAATACACCTTCCGATACATGTTTTGACAACCTTGAATATATCTGCCCAAAACACCACCTGCTAGCTAGTAGAAAATGAACTTAAACATTGGAAAACATGCATTGCCATTTTCCTCCGCTAGTTTAATCACAAACTAAACAAACTCTCCCATCCCACATATCAAAATCTAAAGGGAGGTTTACCAATAGTTTTGCAATCCTAAAAATCAGTGTCATTTAATGTAGACTTTACTTTTGAGAACATGACAAATGTTTTCTTCTCGTCACGAGCTATATAAGCCCTTCCGCTTTGAACCATTTTCCAGTGTGCACAGACATTGCAATTACATTCCCTTTCGACTAAAATATATTAGAATCACAATTTGGCCTTTAAGAAGAGGTTCTAAGTTTGGGTCTGATTAGCACAGATCTATTTAAAGAGTAGTTATTTTGTACAGTTCTAAAAGTTTGTCTACAAAGCGTGAGAATGGAGTTTAAAGTCACTTTAAAAAAAAATGATGCCAAACATTAAGTTTATATGGAAACACCCCTCCCAATGCCCCGTACTGCTAGGAACAATGTGGTAAGGGTCTTAAGAAAGAATCTAAGATTTAGAAGATAGAGAAATTTTCCTTTCATCCAATTGAACATGATTCTGAATGAGAAAGTTCGCAAAATGCTCCTGTTTGCTACTCACTTAACAACATGGTTATTAAAATCACAAATAGATCCGAGACTTTTGTAGAATCTCTAATTCATAGGATCTTAATGGCTCTTGATCTGGATATTATAGGATCGTAGGATAACAATCTGAATTGTGATTCTATAGCTCCCAAATTATGTTTGTTTGTTGGGCGCATTTAATTATTATGACTCTATCCATTATTTTTGTTTTAATACTTAAAGAGACAATCCAAATATGATTATTGTGAGGGTATTGGGGAATTTTGACAAATAACAAAAGATNGTTAAAATGATCAAAACAAACTTTTTTTGATTTATTTTAAACAGAAAACAACGGATTTTCACATAAAAGTAATTTTTTTAAACACTATGTAATGAAGCAACGCTGTTTCACTATCTAAGGTTTTAAAAAATGGAAGTCTTCTTTTGTTATTTATTCCATCGCAAGAGCAAATAATTTGATTGTTAAAAATGTCTTCATCTAACGCCTTTAGATGCTAGAACTAGAACTCTCTAAATTTTGATATTGATGAATTATGTTAGAATCTTGAATACTTGATTGTTAATTTTTTTTTTTTTTGTGTCCTTATAGTCTCTTTAAATTATTTTATGTGAGAAACTTATTGTGCAATGAAATGTTCTTATGATCTTTTTCATAGTATATGTATTTTTTAATATCTCTTATAAAACGACAAGTATCTTAAGATATACGATACGTTACAATATATGATATACTAATTTTGAAATAATACACCTTCCGATACATGTTTTGACAACCTTGAATATATCTGCCCAAAACACCACCTGCTAGCTAGTAGAAAATGAACTTAACATTGGAAAACATGCATTGCCATTTTCCTCCGCTAGTTTAATCACAAACTAAACAAACTCTCCCATCCCACATATCAAAATCTAAAGGGAGGTTTACCAATAGTTTTGCAATCCTAAAAATCAGTGTCATTTAATGTAGACTTTACTTTTGAGAACATGACAAATGTTTTCTTCTCGTCANATGTCATTTAATGTAGATTTTACTTTTGAGAACATGACAAATGTTTTCTTCTCGTCACGAGCTATATAAGCCCTTCCCCTTTGAACCATTTTCCAGTGTGCACAGACATTGCAATTACATTCCCTTTCGACTAAAATAGACAAATACAATGCACCTTTTTATTAGAATCACAATTTGGCCTTTAAGAAGAGGTTCTAAGTTTGGGTCTGATTAGCACAGATCTATTTAAAGAGTAGTTATTTTGTACAGTTCTAAAAGTTTGTCTACAAAGCGTGAGAATGGAGTTTAAAGTCACTTTAAAAAAAATGATGCCAAACATTAAGTTTATATGGAAACACCCCTCCCAATGCCCCGTACTGCTAGGAACAATGTGGTAAGGGTCTTAAAAAAGAATCTAAGATTTAGAAGATAGAGAAATTTTCCTTTCATCCAATTGAGCATGATTCTGAATGAGAAAGTTCGCAAAATGCTCCTGTTTGCTACTCACTTAACAACATGGTTATTAAAATCACAAATAGATCCGAGACTTTTGTAGAATCTCTAATTCATAGGATCTTAATGGCTCTTGATCTGGATATTATAGGATCGTAGGATAACAATCTGAATTGTGATTCTATAGCTCCCAAATTATGTTTGTTTGTTGGGCGCATTTAATTATTATGACTCTATCCATTATTTTTGTTTTAATACTTAAAGAGACAATCCAAATATGATTATTGTGAGGGTATTGGGGAATTTTGACAAATAACAAAAGATACAAAAGTTTTCTTCGTTACAAAAAGATCCCTTTATTCGTTTATCTATCTCTGAAAGTTAAGATTGAATTACTTCAATTCTCCTATTCCTCTTCGCAAAACCCCACAAGATTAACAACGCAACTTTGACTTCCATCCCTCTTTAATGCTAAAATTATAGTTTCTCAATTTTTTTTTTTTGCATGTTATGACATTCCTATTTACATATATATATAATTCATGTTTCTAATAATTTTTTATTGCTGCATATTTTTTTCTTAGTTTTTTAGTTCATAAGATTTTACGATTCTTGATCCGATCCTACTATTTGATACTTTAGCCTCCCCATCAATCTAAGGTAGGATCCGGATTTTAAAAACCCTGCTTAACAACACCATGTGAATAGGTCTCCAAATGAGTTTAAAATTTATGGACATTACCCTTTTGGCCTCAAAAGTCGAAACTAAACATTTGTTCAGATTCTCAATACCCCACCAACTCACTCTCATTTTCGTGAGAGAGAAAAAGAAAAATTTACCATGCTTTGTATCCATATTCTCGATCTCCAGAGTTTGAGAAAACAAGTAGAAAACCCGCAGGGGGTTCAGTTGGCACCGCACAGATGATATGCCACGTCACAAGACTTAATATCATCTAATTAAGGACTTTAATCACAAAAGAACAATGTCACTATGGAGCACAACAAAATTCAAGTTCCTTTATAACAAGTATGGCCACTAAATGAAAAACTGAAAACCATAATGTCTCACCCTTTTTTTTAGAATTAATTTTCTCACAGAGGACAAGAAAAAGCTCATGCCATCATGTTGGCCCTACCACAAAGGAGGTTTCAGTTTTACCAACATATCCAAGTGAGAAGGTATTCCATGATAAAATACTGGTTTAAACTGCTTCAGCATTGCTTTGATAATCACTTCCCTAATCCTAAAGACATGCAAAACCTGAAGATTCCATTCTAACTAAAACAACTTCATCATACCAAACACAAGAATTTAACTTATGTATAACAAAGATCATATCTTTCCAATACATAGTATATATATTTACTATAAAATATCAGCCATACGCTATAGACGACTAGACAAGTAAAAAGGGCCTATAAATATGTACTCATAGAATCATCCCTTCATCAAACAACTTCCAAACAATAAGAACAATAAAAATACTAAAGAAAAACACTATTAAACCCACTTTCCTCTTTTACACCAATCACAAAAATAAAGCAAAACCCAAAAGCACGTACTCTTAATTCAGCAAATTAAAGTTTAAAGCTCATAAACTGAATAATAAGCAATAAAATAACCAAAATTCAATTATACCCCATGAGATTGATCCGAAGACGAAGGCTCAATTCGACAAAGAGCTCGAACATCTGGCCCAAATCGGCGGCATTACCATGGGAATAGAGCAGCGTGGCCGTTGCTTTGGGGTGCTTGATATGTGCGGCCACGATTTCATTGCCGCGTCGAGTCCGGAGCTTCAAAACATCCACGCCTTCTCTTCTGGGAGCCTCAGAGATGTGAAGTTTGCCAGCGGAGGAATCGTCGGCGGTCAGCGTGTAAGACGGAGGGTTTGGGGGGAAGAAGGCGAACTTAGCGGCGATCGACGACGTGACTCCGCCCATCGACCTGGTTTCGGATTCATAAAGGAAGTCACTTTTGCTGCTAGTTAGATCTCCTTTATGGATTAGAGAGAGAGAGAGAGAGAGAGAGAGAGTAGTGGTGGTAAGCAGCTGTGTTCTTTTTGGTTAGTAGTCGGAGTTTGGGCTTCTGAACGTTGTTGGGGTCTCAGATTTCCGTTGAGTTTGAGAGAGAAAGAAAGATAAGTGAATTTTGTCTTCTGACGGCGAAATTATAGGACGGAGGATATACCCACCACCGATCAACAATCTAATCTTATTCAAAGCATTGAAAGGGTTAATTACACGTTGCATCCCAAAAAATTCCTGATATTTTTAATTTACACTGTAAAAAGTTCTAATTCTCAAATTGTAACCCCATGATATAAATAAGCTGTACTGTGCCCTAAATTCCGACTGCCATTTACTTTTCAATTATACTTAGGCTCCGATCTGAATCCGAATCCGTTTAGATGAATATAGACAAATATTTTCATGAGTTTATCTGAATTTGAATCGAATCGGCTTAGATATCTTAAATCAGATTTGAATATGTATATATACAAATTTGATTCGATATACATTGATTATTTTAGTTTTTTCATACCATTGAGCTTGCAATTTTATATCCAAAAAAAAAAAAAGGATTGTTGTAAATTCAGAATTTAAGCACCTTCTAAGATGTAAAGAGAGGGACATTGACCCATAAGAAAATTATTCAATGGGCGTCACTGAGCTTTCAAATGGAAATTAATGTGATTTTTGATATGATAGGAACTAGGAACATTATGAGTTATTAACTGTTTAAGTAAGCGGATCAATGTCTTCAATAAAGACACTTGAAATTCAAGGTAAACTATAAAAGAAATTCTTTGTAATTACCCGTGTTCGTCCTTACAAAGTATGTATCTTTTCTAGCCAACAGTAGTGAGGCATACAACTTGGTAGGAAGGGAAAAAAAAAAAAAAAAAAACCTCTTTGGGCGACTGCAAATAGTAATGTTAATCGAGCTGAATTTTGTGAACTTGAGTTTTAATTTGTCGAACTCGTTTTTTTAAATAAGTCTAAAAAATTGTTCAAGTTTGAGTTGTTTAGAATATCAGTCGAGCCCAAATAATTCAACTATTTTAGATATAAACGAGTAGAGTTTTGTGAGTTTAAGTTACCTTTTTTGACTCGTTTTTTTAAGCGAGTGTAAAAAATTGAGCTCAAGTTGTGTCTTATCTAAGCTGAGTCCGAGCTAAAGCCGAATAATTCGTTTCGAGTAACACTTCTAACTATAGAGGCTTAAAAATTGCTTGAAGGAATCAAATATGGTTTTTTTAGGCTGCAAGAAAACTTCATAATAGTTTTTCTCCATTAAGTCAATAATATATTAAATTCAGAAAAAAAAAAATGTAGTCTTTTTTTTTTTAAGGATGGTGCCATTTTCAACATGCAAAATTAATGTACGAAATTAGCGAGTTGGAGTTAAATAGTTCTCAATACCAATTTAAAAATGAAATGATCTGGTAATACAAATAATAAACGAATTAGATAAAATGTCAAATACGAATCATTTAAATTTGACTTAATAAACAAAATTAATTGGTGTTGTATGAAAAAAATGATTTTTTTTTTATCATTTTTGATCAAATTTTAGCATTAATCATTGTGAAATGAGACCATTTTTTTAAACTTATTTTAATTATTATATGGACTCACTAAATTTCTAGTTTACAAAAAAAAAAAACAATGAGTGGTAAGATTGATTAATAAATAATGGGATCTTAATCTTAGATTNACTCAATGAATAAGAAACGACCCAAATATCACTATACATGATTCGGTTGCCACTCTTAACATTCTTTTCGCACCTTATGTTCTTTAAAGGAAATAGTTTACAATGTCGGTTTGTGACATTATTGTCTCATTGCCATTACCATCACCTCCACCACCTTTCATTGTCGATGCCACTACTACTATCACCATCACCACTATCAGCACCACGCCACTTCCTTATATCACTACCAGCCACCACTAATACAACTCTTATCCCCCCACCATTATCAGGGTCGGAGAATTTGAATTGGTTAGGTGTAACTTTTAGACTGACTTGTAGTCGAAGAAAATTCAGCAAAGCAATTGCAATCATAAAATGCTAGTGGGAGTAAATGGGCCACAACACTCACATGGACATAATGGGTGGGAACACCAGTCACCTTCCAGTAATCCTAGACCTAGCATGTCGACAAGAGGAAGACCCGTAATGCAAAATGTCTATTTCATAAAGTCATCAAAGTAAGGCATATATCTTTTTCATGCGCCTAGTGATAAAAANGAATTAGGTTAAAATTTAGGATAAAGTACTTCAAAATATACTCCAAATTCACTTTACCTCCCTAACATTAAAAACCATCATGTAACCCTCACGCGGTTTGTAGACTAAAATCCTATGTCAGTTTGCCATCCAGCATAATAGGATGTGTGNAGCAGATGTGATAGCACTGAAAGCTTAGTCACTTGCGGGGATTAGTCATCTCCACCAAGTAATATTTTTGTTCATGTGATTCCACAATAGCATCTTAACGGAAGAAAGAATTCCAATGTTATATCTTTATTTTGGGTAAATANCATAATAGGATGTGTGTCCCACACGGAAGATCTGATAGTTGTTCTATGTCATTTTTATTTATTTTTTGAAATTTTCAAGACAAAAATAACCTTATTAAATTTTGAAATATGCCCAAACACCATTGTCTTCTTCTTTGACACAAACTCTGATCGTCTCTCTGGTGTCCCAACTCCGATCGTCTCTCTCTCTCTCTCTCTCTCTCTCTCACACACACACCCCACAGAACACGAATACACACACAGAACCCACGCACCCATAGGTTTCGATTTTGANAAAACTTTTATTTGGGAATGAGGGAAATTTCCGATACTTTCAGTTGAGAAGTAGCCGACGAGCACCCCTTCTTTTATGCCATCATTATCATCTAAGGACGAGCTTTCATCTCANTTCGATTTTGATTTTGGTTTTGTTTCAATTTTGATTTCGATTTTGATTCATTCTTTGGTTCATTAGTGTGTGTTTGAAACAAAGAGTAGGATGAGAGAGACAGAAGGGGAGAGAGAGTGTGTTTGTCTACCGAAGAAGAAAGTCTTTCAAAGTAGAGAGAGGTTTGTTGCTAGAGAAAGGGAGTGGTTTGTGTGCCATGTGAGTATGGGTCGCTAGAGCAAAAGGGAGTGAGTGAGTGAGACCGACAAAAGGACTGTGAGGGAGAGAGAGTTCGACAAAGGGACGGAGTAAAGAAGGTTATTAAAGTTTTTTTTTTTCAATTCTGTTAATTTGCACGAATTTTTTTAACTTTGCACTGTAGTCCACTAATTACACGAGGGTTATGTAGAGGTTTTTAATTGTTAAGAAGGTAAAGTGAATTTGGAGTATAGCACAGGGAAGTAAAGTGAAGTTTAACATAAAATTTATCGCTCAATGAATAAGAAACGACCCAAATATCACTATACATGATTCGGTTGCCACTCTTAACATTCTTTTTGCACCTTATGTTCCTTAAAGGAAATAGTTTACAATGTCGGTTTGTGACATTATTGTCTCATTGCCATTACCATCACCTCCACCACCTTTCATTGTCGATGCCACTACTACTATCACCATCACCACTATCAGCAGCACCACACCACTTCCTTATATCACTACCAGCCACCACTAATACAACTCTTATCCCCCCACCATTATCAGGGTCGGAGAATTTGAATTGGTTAGGTGTAACTTTTAGACTGACTTGTAGTCGAAGAAAATTCAGCAAAGCAATTGCAATCATAAAATGCTAGTGGGAGTAAATGGGCCACAACACTCACATGGACATAATGGGTGGGAACACCAGTCACCTTCCAGTAATCCTAGACCTAGCATGTCGACAAGAGGAAGACCCGTAATGCAAAATGTCTATTTCATAAAGTCATCAAAGCAAGGCATATATCTTTTTCATGCGCCTAGTGATAAAAAAAAAAAAAAAAAGCAAAAATACACTTTTGTTAACAGGCCCTCAAGCTGAAAGCAGATGTGATAGCACTGAAAGCATAGTCACTTGCGGGGATTAGTCATCTCCACCGAGTAATATTTTTGTTCATGTGATTCCAAAATAGCATCTTAACGGAAGAAAGAATTCCAATGTTATATCTTTATTTTGGGTAAATATTACAATTAATTCTTAAACTTTGTTTTTTATTTTAAAATAATCTCTGAATTTTCAATTATTTCAATTTAATCCCTCAATTATCAATTTTATATCAATAAAAAATTTTCATCCATTTCACATGTTGGAACAAAAAAAGAAAAGTTAGGTGTTTATCATGTAGTCATCCACGCCAGGTGCCGTCATTTGTTTTAATGATTGAAATTGACGAAATAACTTAGTTGACATAAAATTGATAATTGATGGATTAAATTGAAATAATTAAAATTTTAAAATTATTTTAAAACAAGAGGCAAAGTTTAAAAATTAATTAAAATATTTATCCTAAAAACTTTTATTTGGGAATGAGGGAAATTTCCGATATTTTCAGTTGAGAAGTAGCTGACGAGCACCCCTTCTTTTATGCCATCATTATCATCTAAGGACGAGCTTTCATCTCAATAACCTANATTTGTTGTTCTTCGTCTTCTTGAACATATATCGCCTACATTACTTTAGGTTTGGGTATATATGTTTGTTGTTAATGTAACGACTAGCCTTCTTTTGAAATTGGTAGTGTATAATGTCAAGAGTTCAATTTTGCCATTTTTTTTCTTCTAATGTTTATATGTATGATACATGTATCCATGTAAGGTTACTGTAACCATCTACATCTTCTACTAAACATATTCTTCTTACTATGCTTCAGTATACAAACAACTTATTTTTTAATGTCACAATGTGACAAACATAACATTTAGCACGAGTGTATGATTCAAGAAATGTAATTGCACAATTATATGTCACAATGTGACAAATTCAATATTGTCTATTGTGTTGTTACATTGCGATGTAACATTGTCATTCCTTAAAAGTAATGTGATGTTACACAAACGAAAGATAATTTTGTCTTCACCATTTTTGGTTGTTTGTATTTTTGGTTTGGTTAAAATCTCATGGATTTTATGAAATTTTTTTATTTCAAATTTTGTTTAAATTTGACAACCTATATTCTTAGTGATATATTAGTTACCGAATTTAATAATTTAGTGCATGACTTCCA